GTATTAGTTCTATTATGTAATAAATAGGAGTAAAGGAATGAGGCCCAAAAAGGCTTTAGGCCCAAACTCCTAGGTAACCTAATTCGAAAACCTGTGCAGTGCCTATAAATATGTGCGTCCTGCACAGGTACAGTAGTCGATTATTCTATTCTCTAGCCTTACGCTGTCAAAACAGTTCTCGATAAAATAGAAGAAGAATTTCTCTGTTCTCGATATTGCTCTATTTTTATCAGATCTTCTTTCTCTCTGTTTATCGATGAATACCATCTAGCTGTGTGTTAGTCTGCAGAAATCTGAGACCATCAACGACATGTCCCCCCTATTTTTATTGTATCATGTCTTTATTTTGAATAAAATTTGATAAATGACACTCAAATTTGGTGATTTGTCTTTGATACTGTATTATTATGTACGCAATATATTTTATACTATGTACTACTATTAGTTAACATTAGATAATAATGAAATATGACATGAGTTACCTAATAATGTTCCGCAGGTGTTACATTTGGGTTGGTTAAGGACCATTACAAATGCACTCAATTTGTGGGAACACTTTCGGTTGGTTAAGAAGACCATTACATTTGGTTCTAAAAATCGTTACATAGTGTTAAATTCGAGAAAAGGCAACACAAGCGAATGTAATGACACAAAACTGTTACATTTAGGAAAATGTAACAGAGTTATTGACCAATAGTAACGAAATTGACCGTTACAAAAGGCCTCTAAATGTAGTAGTGTCACTACCCTTATTATGGAAAGAGTAAACATTTACAAATGAGGTAAGGGTCAGATTGGTCTTCGAAGTTGCATAAAAAGGGTCAAATAAGTCCTTATATAGGAGGCTTTGTCCGGCCATCGTCATTCGGAGTGGTTCCTGGAGAAATTTTTTGATCACATTTTTTGAGCATCTTATTCATTAAGTCTAGTTTACTCATACCAAATTTCAGCTAAAACTTCAATCGGGAAGGCATTCAAATGAAGTCTTGAAGATAACTGTGCAATTAAAAGCGCATTTACCTTCAAGACTTCATTTGAATGCCTTCCCTATTGAAGTTTTAGCTGAAATTTGGTATGAGCAAACTAGACTTAATGAATAAGATGCTCAAAAAATTTCATCAAAAAGTTTCACCGGAAACCTCCCTTAATGGCGACGGCCGGACAGTAAGAACTTATTTGACCCTTTTTATGCAATTTCGAGAACCAATTGACTCTTACCTCACTTACAAATCCGTCTGTTAATCATTCAACAATCCCGCCCTTATCTTGCCACTTGTTCAATCGGGTTTTGGCTGCTTCAACCTAACAGAAAAATAAAGTTAAAAAGATTCTCAATTTCAAAATTGCGATGCAAAAAAGATACTTCAAAACAATTTAGGTATGTATTTAGGAAAATATTCGAACCTTTGAGCAAATGTTCACAATTCAATTGAATATTTAATTTTCTTAGCAAACTTGTTACGTCTTATTATTGTTCAGGGATAAAACCAATTACACATATCAGTTGTCTATATTGTACTATACCTCCAAATTCATTCAAAAAACAAAACTATACCTCTAAATCCCAATTAGTGCGTAACGTGACCCACAACAAGATAATGGTCTGCATGGTTGTTCCTCCAAGCATCCCCAACCAAATTCCCTGCAAATAAATAATCATATGAATTAAATCAAGAAGATAAACTATCATCACGTCTTATTTTACTTGTCTTACGTTCTTTTTTTATTTGTGCCAAAATTAGTGTCAAATTTCTTTGTTGGAAAAAATATGTGTTAAAAAGAGCCGATTTACTAGAATTCTTTATTTAATTCCCTTCTAAAAGTGGTGTACACTCTTTAGATAGAGGCTAATTAGTTATTAGTAAATATTTTGTTTCCATATGAACTGTTGTACCTTCATGTATATGTACACTCTTCAATTGTGGGAATGATATACGAAGAAAAATATAACTCTGAACTACATGGTATCGAAGTAGCACCTTACGTAGAATACAAAGTTCTTTTTTTCTTTTTTGAATCAAATCAATTTGATATCATGGGGGACAAGGATTCTCAAGTTGTCATCCGGACCATACAAGATGCTCCTTTTCCCGCCGGAATCATCTTGGTTTATTCGAACTACTCATTGTGGTCACAACTGATGGAGATGCGCATCCAAGCATGTAACAAATATGGATTCCTCACCGGCAAGAACCCAAAACCGACTAATGAAAACAACTTGAAAACTGGTTAATCAAACACAACCTTGTCAAGAGTTAGCTTATTGATTAAATGAGTCCACCATTGGTTCAACGGTTCATCCGACCCAAATGGCGAAAGAAATATGGGAGGCTGACGGAAAAACCTTTTATGATGGATCTGACAAAACGCATATGTTTGAACAGAATCGAAGATCTTTCAATATTCGCCAAAATATATGGTATATCTCTCTCCACTTATTACAATGAACTCATTAGTATATTTCAGGATATCAATACCCGCCTCACAACTCAAGAAGAAAGTGTTATGCAAGTGACGTGCACTTTGTCGTGAGGTGCACTCAAAGTAATAATACAATACGACACTAATACGTAGTATAGTGTAGTAAGGTTCGTATCCACAGGGAAAGGAATACTTTTCTTCTTACAGAAATAGATAAGTAACAATAAGGGGGGTTTATATTTGGTTGATGAACTTTAAATTATATTTAAATACGAAGATGAACGATTTATGTGGTTTAATTAATGAGAAGAAGACTTGGCTTTGCTTTTATCCACTTAATGAAATGTTCGTCGATCCCGGTTATATCTTTAACTATCTTCCTCTCGAATACTCAATCGAGGAGTATATCCAATTCATCGAGGGTAGTTATTAATAACGAGACGCGTTCATTAATAAAACTTACTACCGAGTTAATATAGAACACGCGCCGTATATTCACTCGATAGTAGCAATAAAATCAAGATGAAAACGATTGAGATTGATAACCTCAACACAAGCGGTTTATTGGTTTAATCAATATAATTAATTCCCCTTGGTTTATTAACCATGAAACGCATGCATTAATAACCCAAGTTTACTACCGCGAAAGGACCGAATTAATAACAAGCGTATTAATCGACCGATTCTAGTAATAATTAATATATGAAACAAAACTAGTTGATCCTTTAAGTAATGTTCAAAATATTAATATGAAATATGAATAGGAATTAATTAATACTCAAGGAAGAATAATAAAGAAGATGAATCCTACTATAGTTAATATCAAGATGTTAACTAATTGTCATCTTAGTAACACTCCCCGATATTAACGTAGAGGAAGAAATAACTATTACTATAACTAATGTCAAGATGTTAACTAATTGTCATCTTAGTAACACTCCCCAACATTGATATAGAAATAGTATTTAAAGAAAGAATTAATATTCAAGGAAGAAGATTAAAGATAATAACTCACAAATTACAAATTCATTAAGCTTCAAAGTAGCAAAACCAAGATGGAAGAGTTTAGCTCCTCATTTGGAGACTAAACATGATAGAAAATATAAAGAAAACACTAATCTAAACTGAGCTAAAGAGTATATGTGAATTGGTGCTTTTATGGGAAGGAAATGGGGTGTATTTATAGGCTTTTGGGAGCTGCAGGGCTGTGTACCCGATCGGGTATATAGGATACCCGATCGGGTATCTTAGGAAATTGCCCAGAAACTGAAAAATAGGGTCATACCCGATCGGGTCTGTCGGTCACCCGATCGGGTATGACAATCGAACATGGCCAAAATCTTTCCCGCATGTTGCTCGGTTCCCGGGTTGATCCGATTTGATTTTTTAGAAGGGTACCCGATCGGGTATAGGTCATACCCGACCGGGTACAGACCAAAAACGAAATCTCCACTTTTTGTTTTGCATTTTTTCACTTTCCTTCCACTTGTGGTGTTCACCAATGGTCCCCAAAGTGTTCTTGGACCTGTTTGAGCTCAGAATAAACCTAATCTAAACATATTACAAATATTTTACAAACTAAACTATTACACCAAAAGTGTGTAATTTCCGAAGTAACACTCACTCTAAACTAATTAAAAACACAAATTTACACATGGAAATTACATGAATGTCAGCAAGTTGTACCCCTTCATAACACACTAGCTCGTCTTTGTGTCCACAACTACCTTGCAGGACTTGATCCTGAATTCAATCATGTCAGAAGTGAGATTCTGAGAAAATATGACCTTGAGTCATATTATGCATATGTTCGGAAGGATCAAAATCAGAGAAACAAAATGAAGGATCCGAAGGTAGAAAAGATGGGATGGTTCATCTAGTCATCCGGAACAAATCTCATATATGGAAGAATATTGATAGTAAGGGAGGCCCTCTTACGTGTACCCACTGTGGAGAAGATGGACAATCTAAACAATGGTGTTATGAAATCATCGAATATCTGGGTGGTTGGATTTTTTGAAGAGGCTATGAAGGAAACTAAGCCACGCCAAAGTGGCTACTTCAATGAAATATGAACTATCCGCTTCTGTTGCTACACATGCTGAAAAAGAAAACAACTCTGGTATGTTTAAAACTAACTGTATTAAAAATAATAGTTGGATCATTGACATAGGAGCAACTGATCATATGACAAATGATCCAAGTAAACTTATATCTATATGCGCTCCAAAATTATGTAAGATTCTTACTGCTAATGGTGACACTACCCGTGTAACGAGGCAAGGGTCAGATTGGTACTCGAAGTTGCATAAAAGAGTCAAATAAGTCCTTATATAGGAGGCTCTGTCTGGCCGTCGTCGTTTGGGGTGGTTCCCGGTGGAATTTTTTGATGAAATTGTTTCAGTATTTTATTCATCAAGTCTAGTTTACTCATACCAAATTTCAGCTAAAAATTCAACCGGGAAGGCATTCAAATGAATTATTGAAGATATCTACGCAAATAAAAGTGCAGTTATCTTCAAGAATTCATCTGAATGACTTCCCGATTGAAGTTTTAGCTGAAATTTGGTATGAGTAAACTAGACTTAATGAATAAGATGCTCAAAAAATTTCATCAAAGAATTCCACCGGGAACCGCCTCAAATGGCGACGACTGGACAGTAAGGACTTATTTGACCCTTTTTATGCAACTTCGAGTACCAATCTGACCCTTACCTCCCCGTGTAACTTGTGAAGGACCGGTCCAAGTATCCAATCCCATAAATCTAAATAAAGTTCTAGGTGTCCCCTCTTTGCCTTAAAAAATGTTATGTATATCACAAATTTTAAAAAATGAAATGTTCAGCTACTTTCTGCGCCTTGATGAGTGTATGTTCCAGGACATCAAGAATCAGAAAATTCTTGGCTATGATACTAGGCGGGGAAAGTTGTATTATCTTTAGACCATAAGTATGGAGATGCCCTCAATACTCGGATAGCTCAAGGGAATAAAAAGTTGGCATGGTTATGGTATCGTAGACTATGATTATAAGTGGTGTTTGTGAAATGGCCAAAATCCATAAAACATTGTATTCCCCAAGTGATACTAAAAGTTTGATTCCTTTTATGACTATTCACTCGGATGTATGTGGACTAGCTCAAATTTCTACACCAAGTGGTGCTCGTTATTATGGATGAATGCACATGTATAATTTGGATTTCCCTCCTTAAACACAAAGGGGATCCATGTTCAGTGTTTTAGCAGCTGTACCGAATGATTAAATCATAATACAAGTGTAACATCCAAGTTTTACAGTGTGATAAAGGGAGTGAACATGTCATTCACGAGATGGAAAAATTCTACAAACGTAACTCCATACGACACTAAACCTCATGTGTGGGTAACCCTAGCAAAATGGATTAACAGAAACAAGGAAATGAAAACTTTTAGAGATTGTTCGGGAATCCTTGTTTGAATGTCTCACGTAAATACTGGGGAAAGGTAGTTCAATCGTCATCTTATCTCATGAACAGAACCCATCTCAAGTCATTGAGTTCAAAACCCTGATCCAAACACTTCATGAACTGGTAACAATCTCATGAAACATTAATCTGGAGCCAAGAGTATTCAGATGCACGACCTATGTACATCAAGACCTGGATAAACTGGAACATAGAGCTACTTGATGCATTTTATTGGGGTACACTGCTTTTTTAAAAAGGGTTATCGATATTATGATACTAAGGAGAAGAAAATGTACGTTACTCGAGATGTTATATTCCATGAAAACGTTCCCTTCTTCGAAAGTGAGAGTTCTCTTCTGGGGGAGAATTCATCTAACTTAGAAGAAGAGAACATGCATGAATATAACCGCGAAAGTGGTCAATTAGGTGAAACGCATAATTCTCCAAACAATGAGATTAAAGTTGATGGATTAACTGAATTAGGAGATGATAATATGGAACCAGGGATTGCAGATGATAGCACATTCATGGAAGGAAAACTTGAAGTTGGAACTCTTGAAGACCATTATACTACGACTTCCCCAACTATCATTACCACAGAGAGTCCAGGAGAATAATCCCTAGAAACCGCAAACCCCATTTCTTCTAACGGTTTATTTTTGCAGGATATTTCAAACACACCTGGTGTGTATGATACACTTCCTGAACCCACGTACCCCTTAAGGAAGAATCGAGGAGTCCCAAAAAAGAACTATTAACCTCATCTCACGCACAAGCGAAATATCCTATTAACAACTAGGTGTCCTCTCATCAGATAGCTAAATCTCAGGCATTATTGATAGAACAATTATCTCCGTGTCTAATCCATGCAACATCCAAGAATCTTTGAAAGACTAAAATAGAAGAAAGCTATGAATGACGAAATGGAGGTACTACAAAAGAACCATACATGGGACTTAGTAAATCTCCCTTTGGAAAGAAGACAATGGGATACTGGTGGATATATACTGTCAAACTAGACTTTATAGGGAGCATTGACAGATATAAAGCATGACTTGTAGCAAAGGATACACTCAAAATTCTGGGAATGATTATTGAGATAATTTTTCTCCTGTAACAAAAATAAACACCATTCGTATTCTTTTGTCTATAGTAGCGAATGAAGATTGGCCACTACGACAGTTTGACGTAAAAATGTGTTTCTGAAAGGTCAAGTGGAAGAAGAAGAAGTTTACATGGACCCCCCTAGCATACACTGCAAAGACAAAGTGTGTAAGTTAAAGAAGGCATTATATGGACTCAAACTGTCCCCTCAAGTAGGGTTTAGAAGATTTTCAACCTTTATGAAGAAGATTAGATACAACCAAAGTGATGTTGAACATACACTCTTTGTTAAGCAACAACAGGAGAACATAACAACATGGGTTGTGTACGTAGCTGATATGGTAGTCACAAGAAATGACCCTGGAGAAATGGTTATTTTGTAGAAGGTGATCGCAATAGATTTCAAACTATATGACCTTTGAAACCTAAAATATTTCTTAGGTATAGAAGTTGCTAGATCAAAGCAAGGTATATCCATGTGTCAACGAAAGTATGTGCTGGATCCGCTTGCAGAAACAGGTATATATATAACTGCTCGCCAATAAAGAAAGGTATCAATGACTTATGGGGAAGCTGATGTACTTATCACACACTTGTTCGAACATAGCATATGCAGTTAGTGCAGTGAGTCGATTTATGCATGCACCGAGTGAAGATCACATGGAAACTGTATATAGGATACCAATGTATCCAGAGTCCGCTCCAGGAAACGGACTATTTTTTGCGAAAAATAAAGTAAAAGGGGTTAGCAGATACACGGATGCAAAATGGGATGGATCTGGAACATATGGGGATTCAACATTAGAATACTTTACGTTCGTGGGAGTTAATCTTGTCACAAGGAAAAGCAAAAAATCAAAAGATTGTTACGAGACCAAGCGCGAAATCGGAACTTTAGAGAATGATCATGATGTCTATGAGCTCCTATGGATAAAAAGAATATAAGAGACCTTGGGTTTAGCCTCACAGATCCGATGAAGCAAAATTGCGACAATCAAGCTACAATAAAGATAGCACACACTCATGTTCATCATGAGAGGACAAACCATGTGGAGGTCGAGCGTCACTTCATTAAATATCATCTACAGAATGGAACGGTTAAGCTTCCATTGGTTCCTTCAAAGGATCAATGGGCGGATATTTTAACAAAGGCAGTATGTGGTAGGGTCTTCCATATCTCTCCAGAAAAGTTGGGAATGATAGATATCCATTCTCCACCTTGAGGGGGAATGTTAACAAGAGCTGGTTTTACTGTATCACTTTATTTAATTCTTTTCCTAAAGTGTTGTATATTCCTTGGTAACTATTGTATTTCCATATGAACTGTTGTAACATCATGTATACATACACTCTTCAGTTGTGGGAATGATATGCGAGGAAATATTCAACTCTGAATTACAATATGCAATCAACAAGAATTCACTTTATTATACTAAAATTTTAATCACAAACTTTACTTTTTCAACAACTTTATTAATAGTTGTGTCAAATCAAAACAAGACGCAATGACGCATAAAAGGGGACGAAATTAGTAACTATTTTAGATAGATATAGCTGGAATTTAATTTATACCTTAGCTCCAAGTCGAAATTTGAAACCAAGCAGAGAACCGACGGGGATACCGACAACATAGTAGCACCCCACATTCACGTAGGCTACAAATTTTTGCCATCCACACCCAACAGCCACCCCTTGATATACCAAGCAGATACACTTAATTAAAAACCTCATCCATTCCATACAATGGTTGTAAATACAAGTGAATTAAAGTAGCAACCCATAATGCATTCATGCAAATTTTAACTAACGAGAAGGAACAAATTGGATACACACGAATCTCAAAGAGGCTATAGAAGTTTGAAATGGACAAAATAAACATCCATTTAACCGTTCTTATAAGTTTTTTTTTAAGGAAAACGATTATATTGATATCATTAGAATCAGGATCGTTACAACAATCTCAAAATGACCAGAAATGACCACAACCTTCACCTTCCCACTACTACTTTTAGCCCTACGATTAGACATAGAGACGACCACCCCTAAAGGAGCAATACGAATCGCTAAAACCACCAGACGAGCTTATGCAGCTATTGCTGAAAAAATAGATCCGTCCCCCACTAACAATATCAAATCTAGTCGAACCCTCAATCAATGTAAAAAACCTATTACCATAAGCAAATACCAAAAGCAAAACGATAGCAACGAATTTCTTCGAAAACAGATTAAAAATGGGGGCAAAGAATTTAAGTGGGATGAACTTATTGAGCCGCTGAACCCAATCTTCCAGTGCGGTGTTCCGACCCCTAATCACCTATTTCCAGCATGGAAGCGGTTCAGGAGGGGGGGATCTTCATCCCTTCATCTTCTTCCTTCAACACCCTGATCTGCTCGTGACTCGCCTCCATCTCTTGGTCAACATACTGCATGAGCACAACCAGTCCAAACGTGAACAGTCTCCAGATCCCTATCATCTTCCTTGTGCTGGAATTGAGATTTGCCAAGACCCTCCGATCCCGAATGCTCCCACGCCCCACCCTGTGCTCCAGATGAGAAAAACTAGCAAAATTCCGAGACACTGAAGCGCCAAGAAAGCTATAGCGCCACCTGCCGAAAACCTAGACTTGCTAAGACCGCCGTCGCCGTGAACCTAAGCCCTTCGCCGCTCCGAAGCGATGAGGGAAACACTAAAAAGCTTACACCGTTCTTATAAGTTTTGGACAATCACTCTTCATTAAAGGAAAATTCTTAGATTTAATTTTCCTTTGTGAGAAATTGTCAGAAAATAGAAGTAATACACTTTGGAATTTCAAAATAGGAGCATCATGTTTATATTTTCTAAATAGATCTAATTACCATCAAGTTTTGAAAAATTTGACCCTATGATATCATGTCTAAATGTGATAATGTCAAATTATGAAAATAAGTTTTTAGAATTACAGTAATTTGCTCCTATATAGGGGGGAAACAGAGTGCTCCTATTTTAGAATATTACATTATGTTTACTCTTATTTTATAAATTTGTCCTTTTTATGTAAAAAAAAAACTAACTTAGTTGATTTATTCTGTTTTAAAATATATAACTCGTTATTCCAATTCAGAAAAAAACTTATTTAAAGAGGTTTAGTATAAAGTTTAGATATTGTAATTTTATGATCGACTTATCTTAAAATATCTCATACGGCCGTTTTGCAATTTTGGAATTGATAGAATTCAAGATCCATAAATATGTTTATGAGACTTTCTTAATTGGAAATATAACAATATATTCTAAAATTAACGTATGAGATAAGTGTCAAATAGATTTTCCTATTATGTAAATTTCATCAAAATCGATTTTTGGCAGGTAACCCACCGATGAGCAGGTTACCTGCAGACGTGACAATTGAGGGAGATATGCTGAACAACAGGCCGTTGATTTGAACTATTTTGTTGAGTGTTTTGATAGTGGCATCATCGGGCGATTTCATGCCATGGAGGAAGAATGGGCCAGTGTGCAAGGAAGGCGAAACAAGGTAAGAAAAAGACAGGTTTCTCCGGAAAAAAAAAGACAGGAAGAATGAAGGGGGGAGAAGAGAAGAGGATGTGACGTGGGCCACCAGGTATGCAAAGCGTTAGATCATGTGTCCGTCCATCAGTAGGTAATCCGTTGACCAACGAATTTCTTGTCAAATGTCAATTTTGACAAAATTTATATAATAGGAGGACGTAGTTAATGAAAGTTAAAACATAGCGACTTTCATTGCAAAGTAAGTGCATTTTCTGTAGAAATAAGTTCTTACTTTCCAGCTTTCGTATTATTTAAAAAGTCTCTTAAAAAGTTTGTATTGATATATTTGACATGACAAATTTTAAAAGCCTTTAATTTTTTCAGAATTAAAAGTTTTGAAAGATTAAACTGAGTAGCATTTGAGAATTGTTTGTTGCTTTAAGCATTAATTAATACAGTTTGTAAATCAAACATAACTAAATCAAGGAGACAACTTTTTATCAAACAACTACGACCTTTTTGCAGATGTATTTCGTCACTATAAATTAATCAATACTAAAAAGTCACTAAAATATCTTTTTACTATAAGTGTACTAAAGATACCCTAATACAGTATGTTTGACACTAATCTTTAAACACATCAATTAAGTTAGTTTTTGTCTACCCAAAAACAGGAAAAAAGCAAAAATAGAAGTAACAGTTCCATTGACGGACGTAAGAAAAAAAACCTTCCGTTGGTGTCCAAATTAACCAAAAGTCCAAAAGTGTTTAGATTCCTGATTGTTTGATTGATTTAATTTGATTGAAACCTTGATAGCTTATTTGAAATTTAGGTTTAGAAATTGCTTTAAATATGATAAAATTTTAGACAAAATGCACATATATCAATATATCTATTTTATTCCTGAAATAGAAATTATTTGATCCTATTAAAAGTATAAAGTTTCTAATAAGTTCTATTTTAGAAAGAAAATAATTATAGTCCATAGTCCCATATGTATACACTATTTATATTTTAATCGTATAGAGAATTTTCTCTTTGAAATTTGCACACGTATAACAAGGAGGTCCAATTTGATAATTAGGGATGTTTACACGGGCTTAATGAGAACCTCCAATATTCATCATTCACATAATTTAACTTACTTTTCAAAATATTTTTGTTTTCAAAAATTATAAACTTTTCCTATTAATCACATTTTCATATAATTTCTAAAAGTAGAAGCAATTGTAAACACTTCTTTATTGTTGCCATTTGTTAACTTTCGAAATATAATGTCGCTCCGTCCTAAATAGAAATATGCAAATAACATACGTAGTAATTTACAGCATTAAAAGTCCTATTCAAAATCGTGAAGACCACATTCTTGTATGACAAAAAGATGCTCAAAATTAATAGAAATTGCTCTAAATAGGAGCAAAAACGTTTTGAAATTTCTAAATAGGAGTATCATGTTTTTTATTTCCTAAATAAGAGTAATCTGTCAAGTTTGGGAAAAAATGTCATGTTTAAAGCCTAGTAATGCCAAACTTGGCAGAAATTTACACATATTCAAGTAATATAATAAAAAACATGATAGTCCTATTTTGGAATTTCAAAACTTTTTTACTCCTATTTAGGGAATTCTCTCCAAAATTAAATTATAAGACTATGCAACATTAGCCAGGAAAATTAAGATCACAATTTTTTGTAGAAAAAAAGAATATATATATATATATATATATATATATATATATATATATATATATATATATATATATATTACATGATTCGACTAAAGTTCAAAAAGTGAAAGATATGAGCTTTAAAGTGAATCAAATCGAGTCAAAAGTGACGGTTTGCAGTTTGCACAATAAGGATAGTTTTTATCGGAATCGCGCCATACATATATATATACACATACATACATACATACATACATACATACATACATACATACATACATACATACATACATACATACATACATACATACATACATACATACATACATACATATATATATATATATATATATATATATATATATATATAGAGAGAGAGAGAGAGAGGGGACTTTTCATGTCCAGCCGGCCTGACGGGAACCGCCGTCCGGCCGAGGGAATTTAGGGCACTTCCCGCTTGAATTTTTTGATGAATTTTTTTTAGCATGTTCTTCATGAAGTCTAGTTTATTCATACCAAATTTCAGCTAAAAATTCAATCAGGAAGGCATTCAAATAATTTCTTGAAGTTAACTGGGCAGTTCATACATATAAACTGCCCATTTAACTTCAAGAAATTATTTGAATGCCTTCCCGATTGAATGTTTAGCTGAAATTTGGTATGGATAAACTAGACTTCATGAAGAACATGCTAAAACAATTTCATCAAAAAATGCCACCGGAAAGTACGCGAAATGCCCTCGGCCGGACGGAGCATCCCGTCGGGCCAACCTGACATGAAGATTTGTCTATATATATAAACACACACTACCTCTGTTAGAGATATTTTTAGTGTTGTGATCAATGTATTTTATCTAGCCTCTTGATAGTATTTATTGTGTATTTAATAGGCCTTAAATGGAAAAGGCTACTAAGCTAAATTAGGAATGGGCCTCCTAAAAAGGAGAGCCCATATCATTGTAAAACCTACCATTCTAAGGAGGCTATAAATAGACCCCTTAGGAATGGCTAGGTTAAGCTTTCCTCCCTTAGAAATTCCCTGCGCATAGACTAGAAGCCTACGGAAGTTTTACGCTACATTCTTCATCATCTTTGTGTAAACTTTCTGGCTATCAATGGAAAGCTTCTTCTACTCCTATTAATCAGATCTTATACATTATAGAGTAGAAATAGGGACCAACACATATTTTCTAGCTAGCCCAACTTACCAAATGGCGAGAGAATCCAAGGCAACCTCAGGATTAGGAAGCAAACCCGCAATCAAGACCAGAATCTGGAAGTACCACATCTCCAAACACAACATCACACCAGATGCAATAGAGAGCTTGAAGAAATTCCACAGCCCTGAGAATGCACTAAGGCTGAACCCTCTCCACGTCTTCTCGCACCGCTTGCTCTTCAATATGTACACAAACTGCGCGACCACTATGATCCACCACGAAAAGCTCAACACGAGAGCCGCGCCCAGCAATCCCCAGCCCAACACATACAATACCACCCATGTTAGGGCGATGTGTGAAACTAGCGTTACTCCTGAAATAAAATTGAATGAACAAAACATTATCCAAACCTATATACAAAGATTTATCGGTAAGTATTGGAGGCCGGACTCAATCTAGATCATAATTTGATCGGGAAGGCAGTTAACTCATTTTCTGAAGTTTACTGCGCCAAAACATACATATAAAAATGCAGTCAACTTCAAAAATGATTTGACTGCCTTCCCGATCGAGTTTTGAGCTGAAATGTTTTATAGACAAACTAGACTTGATGAGGAACATGATCAAAAAAATTAATCAAAAAATTCCACCAGGAACGACCCCAAACGGCGGTGTTCGCACGGCGTTCGCACGGAGAAGTGCTTGACACCATCATTTATATATATATATATATATATATATATATATATATATATATATATATATATATATATATAGATTTAGGATCATGTGAGAAATTGATCTTAGGAGAGTAAAAAAGAATAAATCATAGCCATTAGATTAACATTCTTTCTCAAACTACCGTGAACATATGTAAAAGGCCTTTTTGTCATTTCATCTATGTATTAATTATGCATTAATTGCCTTCAAAACTAAGCTACGGAATTGTGTTGGCACTACTTTGACCATTTGGTGTTACATTAATTACTCTCTTTTCACTTTTTATTTATCTATTAATCATTTCATTCTTTTTTTATGGTTTCTCTCCTTTATTTTTTAACGTGTTACTATGAGATTATACTAACATTGTTCTTATTTTTCTCCTTCTATGGAACTACTCTCTTTTTGCCCAATGGTAATTAATAAGTAGTAATTTTTATAAAATATATTGTTTTACTTTGTGACAATATATTTCTTTAATTTTATTTTCTTCAACTCTGTAATAATGTTTTGCTCGCTAATTTGTTTCCAACGTTGACAATATACGTAATAAATTGTGCACTTTTGATATTTTTAGTGTGCAAGTTGTGATATTTTTATGACTCATATATCCATTTACATGTCACATATTTTGAATTTGATCTCTATCATATTTTTATTGTTCAAATTATGCACATTTGAGAACATAATTAAGAAGCACATACCATGACTATGTCCAACATGTTTGGGAATATAAAATAATTATCAAACTATTATTCATTAATATATGCGAACTTGAAAATTAATATGTATAAGGTGCATGGTGCACTCAATTAATGTTTTCAATGCAAATGCATAAAAGTGCATAATTAACTATAGTAAAATATACTAAGTATACATATTGCACTTTATTAAACATTTGGAGTGCATGGTATTGAGTTTTCAAGTGCATGGTATTGAATTGTTTTTATGATGCACCTCTAAAGTATAAGATGTGCATGCATATCACTTTTATTAACTTGTGTATAAAGTTTGATTATGCAACTTAAAAGTTCAAAAATTTAACATCGCATATAAAGTGCATATGATTTAAGTAAAAATTTATCGACTTAACAAATAAAATATTATAGCTAGGGACTATAAAGTTCATTTTTAATTATTGCACTTGTAAGTGCATAAGAAATTAACTAAACGTGCAATTACATAATTAGTAATTACATGTTCATCTCTACTGCACTTATACACAAGCATACTGCACATAATTTAAACCTATAAACTAAATCTTCCAACCTATTGTTTTTACAAAATAAATGGAATTTAAGTTATAAATATAATGAAAACCGATTGGTTCAAAAAATGGAAAACCAATCATCATAGATATACGCACCAATAAGCTATTTAATTAAGAGCATGGCTCTTTTACAAATATCTCCCTAACGGAAGTTTCAATTAGAATAGTATTACTCAACATTAAATGCTTTCCATTAATGACACTAAGAATGACTTATACGTGTCTATATTTACGTTTGTCCGATTGATTATATGGATGGCTAGATTTCATTCTTTTTTCCTCTCCTAAGAGAGTGTTCTCACAGGAACTAACCCCTATATATATATATATATATATATATATGTATATATATATATATATATATATATATGTATGTATGTATATAGGTTTTGGTTCAAATAAGAACACGATCTTATGAGAGAAATGAGAACGAATCGGAACCATTAGATTTGCTTCAAGTGAAATTCAGTGTGCATTAGATGAAATTGTAATGTGCATTAGCTGAAATTGAAATGTGCATCACAAAGGGTATGATAGAGTGGCATTATGTGCAGTTGAATTGTGCATTACGTGAAATTGAAATGTGCACTATGTGAAGCTGAAATGTGCAGAATAAAAAAATACGATGTGATGTTATTTTTGTACTTTTTTTCACACATCAGTTTCATCTAATACACACTTGAGTTTAAATTTTTATTTTGCATATTTCAACATCATTTAATGCACATTTCAGTTTCACTAAATGCACAATTTGGTTCCACATAATACAATCCAACGGTCCACATTCGTTCTCATTTTTCTCCTAAGATCTGTTCTTACCGGAACCGCTCCCTATATATATATATATGTGTGTGTGTGTGTGTGTGTGTGTGTGTGTGTGTGTGTGTGTGTATAGAAATGATCATGTACAAATGGATGTACGGGGGGCTCCGTACGGACAAAGCCATTAGAGGACCTTCCGGGTAGAATTTTTTGATGAAATTTTTAAGCATGTTCTTCATCAAGTCTAGTTATCCATACCAAATTTTAACTCAAAATTCGATCGGGAAGGCAGTAAAATAAATCCTGGAAACATACTGCACTTTATATGTGTGCAGAATGAGCCATAGTTTTCCAGGATTTATTTGACTACCTTCCCGATCGAATTTTGAGCTGAAATTTGGTATGGACAAACTAGACTTGATGAAGAACATGTTTAAAAAATCCTGGAAAACTATGGCTCATTCTGCGCACATATAAAGTGCAGTATGTTTCCAGGATTTATTTTACTGCCTTCCCGATCGAATTTTGAGCTGAAATTTGGTATGGACAAACTAGACTTGATGAAGAACATGCTCAAAAAATTTCATCAAAAAATTCCACCGGGAAGACCCTCTGATGGGCTTGTCCGCACGGGGCTTCTCTTCAGGAGCTCCTGATAGAAACGGGACTCTATATATATATATATATATATATATATATATATATATATATATATATATATATATATATATATATATATATAGATTATGTGCAGTATATAGATTAAAAGCATACATATAGTATATATATATACTATATGTATTAACCAAACGCCGCCGTACGGACCGCGGCGTTTGGCCGCCTTCCCGGTGGAATTTTTTGATGAAATTTTTATGGCATGTTCTCCATCAAGTCTAGTTTATCCACAAAAAAAATCAGCTAAAAACTCAATCGGGAAGGTCGTCAAATGATTTTTTCAAGTTAACTGGTCCGGAATATGTATTTTCCGGACCAGTTAACTTGCAAAAATCATTTGACGACCTTCCCGATTGAGTTTTTGGCTGAATTTTTTTGTGGATAAACTAGACTTGATGGAGAACATCCCATAAAAATTTCATCAAAAAAAGCCACCGGGAAGGCGGCCAAACGCCTTGGTCCGGACGGCGGTTCCGGTCAGGAGCTCCTGACCGGATCATTACTCTATATATATATATATATATATATGCATATATGTATAGGGAGCAGTTCCGGTAAGAACAGACTCCCAAAAGAGAAATGAGAAGGAATCTGGACCGTTCAATTGTATTATGTGGAACTGGATTGTGCATTTGGTGAAACTGAGATGTGCATCAGATGATATGGAAATGTGCGGAATAAAAATTTAAACTCAAGTGTGAATTAGATGAAACTGAAATGTGCGGAATAAAAGGTACAAAAATAACATCACATCGTACCTTTTATTCTGCACATTCCAGTTTCACCTACTGCACATTTCAATTTCACTTAATGCACAATTCAGCTTCACATAATGTCACTGTATTATACTATTTGTGCTGCACATTTCAATTTCACCTAATACACATAACAGTTTCATGATTTCATCTAATGCATATTGAATTTACTTAAAGTAAATCTAACAGTCCAGATTCATTCTTATTTCTCTCCTAAGATCATGTTCTTATTTGAACCAATATATATATAGGGAGCGGATCCAATGAGAAGTGCTCTTAGGCTAAAAACTGCGAAGTTAAACTTATAGACTTAAAACAGGAACTTTTAACCAATAAATCAAAACTTATAGACCCCTCGAAAATAATTACGAAAATGCCACCGCAAAAAAGTGAGTCTGAAAACCTTGAAAATTTTTGGACGCGGTGGCATTTTCGTAATTACAATGGAGAGCTTTATAAGTAATGATTTATTGGTTATAAGTTTCTACATTCAGTATTTCAGTCTATAAGTTTACTGCGTTGCAAGATCACATGCAAATCCAAGAGCTAAGATTACTTCTTACTTCTCATTTTAAGGGGCACTTCTCACCTGATATCTCTCTCTCTCTCTCTCTCTCTCTCTCTATATATATATATATATATATATATATATATATATTAGAGAAAATTACCTCTCATGTGATTAGAAGATCATGTATTTCCCAATCTATGACCTAGTCACTATAATGACCTATTTGGAGAATGTCATTAACATATCTTAATTTAGTATTGACGGTAACAATTACATGCATGTGTGACAATGCTAGAGCCGGTTAAAACATACTATTGGAGTGTTAGTACGGTAGTGATGACCATGAGAATAATATATAGGGAAATTTATCGCAATATTACTAAAAGAAAGAGAATTTCCCATCATATAACTCATATGATCAAAAAACTTGATTCACGGGAACATGACTAAAAGTCACCAATTGTTGATAGCAATCATAGCATAACTGAAAAATAAGAAATACGTAGTAAGAAAGAGGAACTTTCCTACGTGCCTAGCATCTCATTCTCCAATTAATTAGATCCGATTCTAGTTTTCAAAAGCAACCAGAGCACCACGATGTTGCATAAATATGAAGATACAAGGAAAGTACAATTTTGAATACCTGATATATATGCACTAGGGCTTACAATGCTTTGGGATTGCAAGAATTTCTGTATCGGAAAAATCGCAGCATAAGCGAAAATTTGCGGGATTAAACCGTAGACAAAGAGGGCGGAGGCGGAAGCCACAGACTTTGATTCTCCTAATAAGAGTAAGATTTGTTTGGAGAATATGTAGAGCAGTAAAAGTGGTAGTCCTGCCAACATGAGAAGAATAGTTGACCTTTGAAGATATATTCCAAGCATTTCGTACTTGTTTGCTCCATAAGCTTGTCCACATAGTGTCTCTACCGCGCTTCCCATTCCAAGCTGTACGTTCATGCATACATTATGTATAGTTAACACTAACATACGTAGTATAACATTCCATAATAAGGAATCGGGGATATATCATATATGGAACTTCTTTTCGAGCAATTCCCATCTAAATGAATGGACCATTTTATACAAAAATACAAATGAAACAAAATATTGTAAATCATAACAACATTTTAACTTAATAAATCAGTTAATAATTAATTAAGATGAAAGTAATGGACTACTACCAACGTAATTTCGTATATGACATCTAGCTAGCACAATGACATCTAGTTAGGTTTCTTTTGGACTGAAATTTGCTGGTCTAGTTTGGTCTGATTTGATCTGATCAGGTCTGATCTGGTCTGGTATGAATTGGTCTTGTCTGGTAAACGTCTGATCTATGTGTATTTTATGACTATGGAAGTCTGATCTGATCTGGTCTGGTCTAGTCTGATTTGATCTAATCTTAAACAGACCAGACTAGATGAGATCAGACTTAAACAGATCAAACCAGATCAGACCAGATTTAAATAGACCACGCTAAACCACACTTGACTTCCGTGGTTATAAAATAAGTAGAGACCAGACGTTTACCAGACCAGATCAAAGCAGTTCAGACCAGACCAGACTTAAAATAAGTGTAACTTTTCATATCTTACCCTTGCCCTTGTCATGCTTTGAAAAGACTTTTTTTATAATAATAAAACATAAAGATATTTTAAAAACGTCAAAAATAAATAAAAATATGCCGACCTCAGCCACCTTTCGACACCGCCCCTCCGGTCACTGAAGCAACGCTAACCTGCTAAAAAGGTAAATTTCATACTACTTCTAGCAGCAAAATTTGGTATTTTCATAGAAAGATGCCATTTTTAAACAAGGTGGCATTTTCCTGTCAATCGGTGGTGGGATGTGGAATATGTGGCAGCATGTGTCTACATATTTTTAATGTATTTTTTCATTTTTTTTTAGGTTTTTTATGTTTTTTTATTTTTATTTTATTTTTACATTTTATTATAAATTTATAAATACTTATTTTATATTTATGCTTTACCCAGTATTATAAATAAAACTATTAATTTCTTATTAGTAAAATAAGTCTTGTTTTGGGGATTATAGGAGGGATAGAATAAGGAGAGACAAAAATTACTCCTCTATGAGAAATGAAAAAATTATATTCCTATTAGCACTCTTTGGAGTTAAGGGCTAATAACTCTTATAACTCATGTTAAATGTTAAGGGCTAATAAGGGGAGAACTATCAAATAAGCCCTCGAACTTTCATAAAAAGTGCAAATAATCCTTTTTACAGGAGGCTTTGTCCGGATGTCGCCATTTGTGGCGGTTTTCGGTGGAATTTTTTGATGAAATTTTTTGAGCACCTTACTCATTAAGTCTAGTTTATCCATACCAAATTTCATCTAAAAATTCAATCAAGAAGGCAGTCAAATGATTTTCTGAAATATACTGCGTTGTCTAACTGCGCAGTTATCTTCAAAAATTCATTTGACTACCTTCCCGATTGAATATTTAGCTGATATTTGGTATGAGTAAACTAGACTTAATGAAGAAGATGCTCAAAAAATTTCATCAAAAAATCCACCATAAACCGCTCCAAATGGCGATATCCGGACAAAGCCTGCTGTAAAATGACTTATTTACACTTTTTATGAAAGTTCGATGGCTTATTTGATAGATTTCCCGCTAATAAGAGTTATATTAAATTGAATATTAAATAAAAAGAATAAACGATACTCGTACGATTAGTCAGTTTTTTAGAAAAAAAACAAAACAACTCATATTTTTGTGTTTTCGTAACATTCCTAAAAATTGCAATAAATCATACTACTATTTAATTTGTAAATCCTGCATACATTGAAGTACAGATTTGGATTTTGGAGTATGTACGTAAAACCTGTGATTTTTTAAGAAACCAAATTAGTATAGAAGTTTTCCATCTTTTTGAAGAAAGACTGAGGGAATGTACCATGACTCCATAGGCCAAGACTTGGATGCCATTATTGCCGAGGGAAGCAGCAGCGAGCTGGAGAGTACCAAGATGCCCACAAAAAATCTGAGTAGACATGGAAGTAACATTGTTTAACAAGTAAACAATGATGGCCGGAATTGCCAACCGGAAAAGATTTCTGAGTTCGATGCTGGTGGCTTTTTGTAACCTTCGAGCTTTCGATGATCTTGAATCTGAGAGTGTTTCTTCCAGCTCCGAGCTCATGTGCTCACCGGCGTTGGGAGAACTTGAATTCTCCAGCTCTTGAAGTTGATTAAGATTGATGCTAATGATATGTAAGAATAAGATTTTGTGATCCTCTAATTCCGATATCGTTCCTCAAAGAGTAATAGACGGTATGGATACAACAATTGATTGATGTTTCACAAAACAAGCTTATAAATTTTGGCTAACTCTTGAATAAGCTTGAGTACTCTCCTTTCAAAATAAGCTTGAGTACTCTCTGCTCTAACCCGCATATATATACTCGATCACTTCATCTCTTATAATTTTGACAGAATTGACAGACACGTAAAATAATAAAATAAAAATTGTGTAATTGACATTTATTCAAAATCACGGCATAAGCGAAAATTTGCGGGATTAAACGGTAGACGAAGAGGCGGAGGCGGAAGCCACATATTTTGATTCTCCTAATAAGAGCAGTAATAGTGGTAGTCCTGCCAACATGAGAAGAATAGTTGACCTTTGAAGATATATTCCAAGCATTTCCTACTTGTTTGCTCCATAAGCTTGTTCATAGTGTTTCTGTCGTAATTTATTGAGAAATATAACTCAAGTGTTCAATTTAATCCTTGTTAATATTATTTTAATTGAGTATTGTGGAGTTCTAATTAATATAATATTAAAAGATAATGACAAATATTATTATTTGTTAAGACGTGTATGATACTTTTCTTTATGATTAAGTGAATCATATCTTAATAATAATAATACTCTCTCCGTCCCAAAATTATCTTCATAGTTACTATTCACATGGTCAACTCAAATTACTCTTAATCTTTTACTTTAACTTTATATATCAAATTTTTGTCAAACTTAAATTTTCTTGATCAGGTTTTGTAGCGGTTTTAATGTAGTTTCTGAATATGTAAATTTTATTTACTAAAAATAATCCGAGTGTGAACAGGGATCGAGTTGCTTTATCGTCAGTCAAGCATCGTAAACCGAACTATGAAGATAAATATGGGACGGAGGTAGTAATTGTAATTAGCATGGTTGGAATGGTCATGTTTAATCATGTTCAAAATTTAGATTAAAATTTAAAAAGCATCCATTACGTACATATAAAGTAATCAAAAAGTTTATTTTGAATTGAATAGCCATGATGTTTCGAACCATGCATCACAAACATTTGGAAAATATGCGATGCTTTATTCGAACTTTTTCGATTGCATCATCAGACTTCTCCTAATGGTCAAGAAAATAGAATTGAACACGGGAGAATTGATGCGCATTGATTTTTTTTGAAGGAATAGGCTTAATTATCATTAATCAAATCGTTGGCTAAAACCGATACAATAAAATCAGGAGGAGAGTAAAGCCAATACTGCAAATCAGACAAAGAACAGGCTGCCCTTGCTAACAAATGAGCAGGCTTGTTCGCTGACCGCTTAATATGACAAAATGAAATTTGCGGAAAAAAATTCGCCAAATCTCTAATGCCGTCTCTTAGTAATCCCACCAAGGAGCAACTCGACCCGTGTAGAATCTCCGAAATTGCACCTGCAGCATCTGATTCAACCTCGACCGTCGTCCCACCGAAGTCTTTCAACCAACTAAAAGCCGTGTGAATTCCTGCCAACTCAGCTCCCAAAGGAGTCAACCTGCCCGGCCATGGTTTGGCTGCCCCAGCAATCAGGGGCGGAGCCAGGACACTAGGTCGGATTGGGCCGGTACAAAGAATATTTTAAAAAAAAAATTACACGAAATTTTTTACCTTAAAAATTAAGCCATTTTTAAAATTTGGGGTGGGCCTGGGCCTAGGTTGGCCCACCCCTAGCTCCGCCCATGCCAGCAATAAACTGGCCGTCGGCACCCCTAAGACACCAGCCCAGCCCGCATCTGTTCACCCGAGTCGCTGCATTGACGTTCAATTTCCAGCAGCCTTGGGAAGGTCTGCACCAGGCAGCTCTCCCTTGCAAACTGATTTGCGGTCTTCTTCCCCGAGCTACCTGAATCTGAGCTTGCTTCCATCCTTCCACAGTTGCTCGAGCCCGATTAATAAGCTACCTGACCGCTGAAGACTTCTCCCGCCACACCCTCTGGTTGCGTTCGCTCCAAAGTATCCTGCAGCCCCAGACCAGTTCTTCTAAGCCCTCCTTATTTTTCCTTTAGAACTCCTTATTAACTTGCTCCAGGAAAGGCCTGTCCGCAACAGTATGCCATTGCCAGCCTAGTTCTCGCAACAGCTCCTGGGCCAAAGTGCAGCCTCTAAATAAGTGCTCCAAGGACTCGGCTGCTGCTTCACAGATTCCGCATAGCCCCGAAAAATTCACTTTGCGAACCTGCAAATTAAGTCTCGAAGAAAGACAACCGCTACAAACCTGCCAAAAAAACATTTTAATTTTAGGTGGTAATTTTAACTCCCACATGGCAGTCCAATCAAATCCTGTTTGGTCATCCAGATCACCTATTAATCTTCTATAACAACTCCGAACTGTAAACTGACCACTTTCTTCCCATCTCCAACCCAAAGAGTCTCTAATATGACTCCTTTTCAGTGGAATACCCCGAATAAGTGCATCGTCCCTTTCTTCAAAAATATCATCAATGATATCCATGTCCGATGTGCATTGATTTTTATTTGACCTTGATTATTCTTATGATCTTGCCACACTTTACTTTATTATCTGCAGTAATAAAATTAAAGTACTTCGACTACTTTATATACAAATCACTTGTTAAGTGTTATTTTACCAGTAGCTAAAATACACTTGTACACCTTTTTGTCCCAAAAGTTCTATTTTGTAACCGGTTACTGTGATAAGGGTAATAGTAAACTTTTAGGAAAATGTATTTATATGTGACTAGAAGCTAGTGATATCCGGTCCAGCCATATTTCTACACCCTAATATACTACAGAGTATTAATTACTCCCGGTTCTAACAATCTAAAAGTTTACTATTCCGCAAATATGGCCGCTACTCAACGAGATATCATCAACACCAATTTTCAAAAATTGGAAAAGTTTGAAGGTGTGGAATTTCGGAGGTGGCAGAAAAAGATGCATTTTTTGCTCACCACTTTGAAAGTGGTCTACGTGTTAAGCACCCCGAGGCTGCCCGAGGAAGAAGAAAACGAGTCTTTGGAGACAAGCCGCGCCGCCACATCAAGTGGGATAATGACGACTACATTTGTCGTGGGCACATTTTGAACGGTATGTGCGATTCTCTATTTGATGTGTATCAAAATGTTGAATATGCTTAAACGTTGTGGGAATCTATTGAATCCAAATATATGACCGAGGATGCTTTAAGTAAGAAATTTCTCATTAGTAACTTTAATAGTTACAAAACGGTGGATTCCCGTCCGGTCATGGAGCAATTTCATGAGATTCAACGATTATATGATCAACTTTTGATACACAACATGCATGTTAATGAAACCTTTGCGGTCAGTTCTATAATCGACAAATTACCACCTTCATGGAAGGAAGTGAAAAATAGCCTCAAACGGAAAAAGGAGGATTTGTCAATGGAGCAACTTGGTTGCCGACTTCAAATTGAAGAAGGCATTAAGTTGCGTGAAGGTGACAATGGTAAAAAGAACGACCTTCCAATTTCCTCTATAAATGTTATGGAGGAGGGATAGTCAAGTGGGACTAAGAAATATAAAAAACGTGTCACGCCCCGGACCTCCCCGGACACGTCAACAACCCGCCATACAATACGAATAGTCAACCGCAGACCAACACGTTCATATTATACAAGGCGTCTCGAATATCATTCACACGTAAGCCATCCATAAACAACATAACAAGCAATCGAATACGTAGCGGAAAATATAGTTTGAAAACAAATGCCACACATGGCTAACATGAGCACGCAGGCTCTATAGTAAAATATTCATGAGCATGTTTATTAATGTTTAAAAACCGAATGGAGGAAGCACGAACCAAGTCTTCCCTCCTAGATGATCTCTCGAGCAACGAGCACAGGAAGCAAGCTTTAGCCTCAACTTGAAAAATGGTGGTGGGACGCCCCCGAAGAGGTCAGCACTCTATAGGGCTATAAAGTGCTGGTGTGGATGGCATCTAATAGATATACAACAAGTATTTCAAACACAAGACCCTCAAATAGGGTGATAATATAATCTAGGCCGTAACCCCAAGTTACCCCTTTTTAAAATATACTTACTTTATATATAAAGTCAAGTAGTCGGCCCGTAGGCCCAAGGTTTGTTTATCAAACATAGCCCAAAACCCCGTGACCCCTAGTCACAACAATTCATAGGGTTCAACCCTAACACATATATTTGCATTCTCGAGTCCAACTCGACTACATCACCATGCACCTTAATTAACATGAGCTAACTACTCCACCGTGCATTTCTTGAGTCCAACTCAACTACATCACCATGCACAACAATCACCCCGTCATGTCTACCCAATGCAATTCTATGAGCACGACTCAAGTACATCCCCTTGCATTGGCATAGACCCCAATTCCTAAGCACTCGCTATGCCTAGAATTGTAATATCAATAATCTATTTTGGGACATCCTTACGGACTGCCCAACCATGGTCTTAGCATCACATTACATCAATTTAGTCAGTTGCATCACAATCAAGTTCATCAATTACAATCAAATCCTTATATTCAATTCTTCAACAACTACAACAATCATTAACTAGTATTTCAATACTATTAAGATTATTCTTATCCATCATATATTCCATTTGTAAAACCCTACATATTTAGAGATATGTAGCAGCAACTTAATCATTCAATGTAATACATAAATAATCATTTATGTATCTACACAATTCACACATGAGTAAAATGCCTATTTCACACAATAGTTCATTTAACTCCATTTTTATCAATACTTTACCAAATCATTTCCCATTTCATTCTTTGGAAAATAGATCAATATTCCATCAATAAGTTATCATCATAATCCATGGAAAACATTATTTGGGGGATAAACTCTCCCTTCTCGAACAGAGACCACTCAAATAAGAAACTACACTTCAAAGGCTATCCAAGGACACCTCAATCAAGCTATTTGGATGAGTATAACTCCCATAATGAAGGGAGACAAAACAGCACACCAGTTTGTGCGAAAAATAGTGATGGTGGTCCCAAATTTTGATTCCAATTGTATCATGTGCAGTTCTTCTCCATGTGGTGCGGCCAAGGTAAGTCTTCTCACCCATTTTTATTTGTCTTGCAGGTACTAATATCATGTGGAGTGGTTCCCCATTGATCCCAATTATTTTGG